CTTCTCTTCTCTTCTCTTCCCTTCTCTTCTCTTCTCTTCTCTTCAATTCTGTGCTTTTCTGTTCTGTTCTGTTCACTGCATCATATAATTCTATCTAACAGCGATCGTCCGAAACGCCAAAGTGTATATTGTGTAGCCTATATTTATAAGTGGAGCTAGTACTTCCTCTAACAATTCAATCACTGACAAAGCATGTCTTTCATCCTTAGAAGCAGAAGTTGCCGGAAACTACACGAAGATGTTCAATATATATGAAATCTTTACGAAAATGAGAAAGTTTTACTGACGCTTATGATATTTTAGAATGCTGACGCGCGGATCGTATACATATAAGAAACTGACTCTATGCACTATTTGAAAAACGTATATTGTAGAAGTGATTTCTTTTTGAACCTCATGCAATAGTCATTTTCTCTACAACCTAAATCAGAAGTACAATATCAATATTGTGCAGTAAGAGAATGATTACCCTGCAAGTCTTGTAGAACTGATCTTCATCAAACGTGCGGCACTGAGATGGAAGCTTCTTGACAGAAATAGCCTCGAGCCAGAAATGAACAAAAGATATCTTGAAGTCACTTTTATCCAAAAATCGCACACCAGCTGCTACCAAACGATCTGCTGTGATCGACACTGTCATTTATTCACTTCATAAATATTAATCTATCAATCTTTGTTATCACTTGTAAATTCTCGCCCCCAATGCAAAAATGCAAAACAGGGAGCTCTGGTGCCAGCCATGCATATGATGAAACGCTTTCTTTTCCACTATAGTATGTATGAAATTGCGTGCATTGCATCTTAGTGAGTGGGGATATTAGAAAAGAAGAAGTAACCGAAATACCTTGCAACGTGAGCTGAAACTCTTCGCATGGAGTTCGTGTACTAAATTGTAGAATCTTTATTAAAATAGAAGAACCACTTTTATTAGTTCATTTCAGGACATAGAAAGAAAGACAGCTGTCGTTAAAGATTCATTAAGTCTTTCAAATCAAGTTGTATAGCCTTTATTAAGTAAGAGAGGACATTTATTTGAGAGCATAGAAAGTGAAAAGTACCACTCATTGTTATAAATGGATGAATTCGTCAATGAAATTGAATGATCATGACACTAAGTCAATAAAATCAGTATACCAACACCTCTTCTTTTCAAAAAAAAATTAATGAAAATAATCGCACCATGTCAGATAGAGATCATTATATAAATATAAAGAGGCAATTGAATATAAACTGATTGATGACACGCATTTCTTTCCTTTTTGGCCATAGGAACTGTTGAAACCAAGAGACACTATGTCACCTGTAATGTCGTGTATAGTCAGCGAGATATTCGAATTTGCCTTTTCACAAGCGCCCAACGATCAAAACACATATACCTTGATACGTGTGTCTTTAAAAGATTTTTGTTGATTAAATTTTAATCGCTTAAATCGAGTTTTAGCTGATTTTGGGATGTTTATGACATAGACTTATGACAAATGACATAAAACTGGGAATGACTGATCGAAAGGAAAAATAAGGAAAGATACCAAGCAATCAGGATAAASAACGAAAAGAAGCGCACAACCGATTTCCGAGGAGCGAGCAGAACTTTCCGCTAATCTTTAATCGCTAATCCTACTGCATCACTTCGACCGATTTCGAAATACGTAGTATCAGAGTTTTGAATCATTTTTTCTTGATCTTTATTATATATAATTTAATATAAAACCAACCTAAAATGTTYGTCAATTTCCAGCCTTGATGGATACAAGTACAATCTATCCTGTCGTACGTTTCGGCTGAATACGATCGCACTTTCTTCAGATATATCCACCAGTTTGATTGCAGTGATATTTCCTATACTAATCGGTTAACAATTACAGATAATAATAACAGATTTTCCTTGCCATGGTTCCAGAGTTTTTCTCTTTTTTCTAGTTGTTTATTTTAGTATTTATCGAATTTTTTTCGGCTTTGCTTTTTAAATTTAACGACAAAAAACATCTCGAAAAGAAGAGAAAACCTCCGTCTGCAACCAGGGTAGATTTTCTTTCTCCGGCCCAAAGACCAACCTCGTACCGCTTAAACGGCTATCTATATGTAATTTTAATTGGAATTTTTCACTTCAGTATAAACTAATATGTACATATCAAGTGAATCATTGTGATTATTGGGCTTCTTTTGATAGTGSCGTATTAGGCTTTTTTACACAACTAGACGTCTTTACATACATATTTAAGAATATACATATAAAGCTATAGAGATAAATACATAGTGATTAAAGAGCTTTAAAAATGAACAGATATAAGTATAGTGTGCAGTGGCTGAAGGCGGAGCTTAGCTTGCATAGCCAGGCTTTCCTAGGGTCTCGGCATGAGGAAGTCAGAATCACTTCGGAATTTCTCCTGCTAGAACTCCCTTGGAGTGCYTACAAGGTACGCCTGGCTACGCAAGCTAAAAGAAGCTTAGTTTACGAGTTAGTCACAGAGAAATTATAATCAACTGACCCCATATTTGTTGAACTCAATCCAATCGAGCCCASAGTCTGTCTAGCTTTTTGTCAGCAGTCTGCTGGTGCAGGCTCTCGTTTTGGGTTTAGTTGAGCCAGCAGTAGTTAAGAGTGAGTTTCTGTAGACTCTGTAAATTTCAAACATTGTGTGGCCATCTCAAAAATTCGATTTTCCTGAAACTTTCCATACAAGTTTGACTCACCCTGAAATAAAGAATAATCGGTATCATAAGGTCGGGGGGGGGCTTCGTTTCCATGGCAACCACACCCACTATTTTGGGTCATTTTTGATCCAAAACAGCTGTAAATAGGTAGCTTTTTAGGTCAACATTACTATTAAACAATTTTGCAACACAATTCCTTTGCTATATCACAGCAAAGAATCATCCTTGGTCTTTTGTTGGAGATACTTTTCTTTGGTCTGGTTACCATGGTTATTCCATAATGAAATTTACAACACACTGACTGTTTTTAATATTTATGAAATGCTCAATTTTGGGTAACTTTGGCGTCTTGTATCTCTGGTGGTAACAGTCTGTTTGAAACCAAAATTATGTCCAGTACTATTCTATCCTAGATCTACCAAAATCTACTTTCAAAATGTTGGGCACTTAAATATTGACTAAATGACAGACTTCCAAACTAACCGACCTTGTAACAATTTCGTTAAATATACTCAACAAAGATATCAAAAAATTGATAACTAAAAACTACTTGTGAACTCGTAAAAGCCGTTTTGGAATCTTATAATTTATTTTCCATGTATATTAACACTTTTAAAGTTGTTATTGAGATATCAAAGCTACAAGAGATAAACAAGTTAACGTTATTTTTTAACGTAAAACGCTCTGTCTATATGGCCGGTTACCGGTCAAGGTCTTGAAAATGCTAAATGGCCGGCAGCCCATGAAATAATCAACATTTCTGAAACTTTCATGGTAATAAAAGATGCATTTAAAGAGAAATCTGTTATTTTATTATAGGCTGCCAGACATTTAGTATATTTTGATGTTGCGTGGTCGGCAGTCGGTTCAAGTTCGCACAATGTCTCTAAGTGCAACGAATTTCGGCGCGACGTTTATGTAAGTTTTAACACACTCATTTTACTCGTAGAGTATTATTTTGGAGTTTTGAAGCTCGTTTAGATAATAAGAGAGGGAAAAAAAACATTTTATGGGCTGCCGGCCATTTAGCATTTTCAAGACCTTGACCGGTAACCGGCCATATAGACAAAGCTTAAAAAATAACGTAAACATATCTTGTAGCTTTGATATCTCAATAACAACTTTAAAAGTGGTAATATCCATGAAATAAAATTATTTATCATATAATTATCTATGAAATACCTATATTTCTCCATTTAATTACGTAAAATTGATATTTTCATATAACACATTCATAACACATTCGAGGTTTCTCTATATAGTGGAAGTAAGAAAATAGATATTTTCCGACATAATTTGCTTTCATATTTAATTATATGATAAACAGAATATTACATGGTCGCTTTGAGATACGAATTTTATCTTCTCGTGTTGAAAATCTCTCACTCGTTCGCTACGCTCACTCGTGAGAGATCTTTTCAACACTCGAAGATAAAATCCGTATCTCCGCGCGCCCATGTAATATCCTCTATATATATGATATCAAAGAGGCACGATTTTGCTGTAACTCCGAGTTTCGTGCTGCGCACTCATCAGAYAGTAATTTAATCCTGTCTGATGAGTGGTAGCACGAATTAAACTCGGAGTTACAGCAAAATCTTGCCTCTTTGATATCATATATATAGCTGACTCTACACTTTATGTGTATTGAGCACTCTTTAATGGGATCAGACACTTCCTCATACGAAGAAATATAAATTATAAATGATTCCAAAACGGCTTTTACGAGTTCATAAGTAGTTTTTAGTGAATTTTTTGATATCTTTTGTTGAGTATATTTAAAGTGCTACTTGCATGAAAATGCCCTTATTTCAAAACTTCAAAAAAAAAMAACAAATATATGACTCATTTATATCTATTAAAAACAATTTTKGGAAAATATTTGTTTTGGAATCATCCCACATCAGAGAAATTTTGATTCAAAAGATGGAAGAACAAAAGGATTGAGTAAATGACGTCATTTACTCCAACATTTTTTGCTCAAATTATTAAGCTACCTATTTGCAGCTGTTTTGGATCAAAAATGACCCAAAATAGTGGAGGTGGTTGCCATGGAAACGAAGGCCCCCCCGACCTTATGATACCGATCATTCTTTATTTCAGGGTGAGGCAAACTTGTATGGAAAGTTTCAGCATAGTTGGTTTCAGGAAAATCGAATTTTTGAGATGGACCAGATTTTTGGAAAATGTTTGATATTTACAGAAACTCACTCTTAAGTCGTCATTAGCACAGGAAAACCAGTTTTTGTCGCTCGATTTATAACTTGAGCTTTATTGGAAAATGTCAGTCCTGAGATTTTTCAGATGATCTCTTTGATTAAGCATCATCACATTACAGTGTAATGTTTACATCAGGTAACTATGACAACGCGTGTGACAGATCGATGGACGCCATATTTGTTCATTGCAACGCATCGATACAGTCCCTGGTCGCGTTTGACAATTTTTCCTTTAACACGAAGAATCGAGCGAATTGATTGGTCCTTTCTAAATTTGTTTCTGATGATGTAACGTTTATCCAGATTGCAGCTGCTGTTGTCATGGAGACAACCAATGGAGCGTCCATCTTTGGTCCACGTGACCGTAGGTAGTGGCAGTCCCATGATTCTACACGGGAGAGAGAGTCTTGATCCTACCCTTTGTATTACAATGGCCTTCCGTGATCTTGCTCTTGGTTTGAATCCTGGATTATTTGATCGACAGAATTATTAATCACTATAATTAACTAGAAATTAACTAATCTATCAATCAATTAGTGAATCAATTAATTATGCCTTCCAGTACCGAAAGACTATTCTCTCTAAAGTTGATTGAATGCAGCAAGCAAGCAAGCAAGGAACCAAGCAAGTAATCAAGAAATCAAATGAACCATTAACCATGCTAAGTTCAGTACAAGCATGAAATCGGTCTTCTATCCACCGACCAGAACCAATTTTCTCATCTTTCTGTCCAGTGACTATTTTGATTCTTTCACCCATACTTTAATTCATCCATTTATACACGGATTGATTCACATTGTGGGTGGAAAGGTTGATATACAAGATGGTTTTGTAAACCAAAACACACTCACCTACATCCAAAGCAGTCAATAATGTCCTCTTCTTTCCATGATACTTCATGGTGCACTTGTAGACACCGGCATCTGGTTCATCGATAAGTGAAAGCTTCAARATCAACTTGTTTTCGTTGTTGTTCTTGATTTTGAGAAGTCTTTCTCGTGGTATTTCAGTGTAAGTCTTAGAAGACCCAACCATTCGAAACCACTGTAGTCTTGCACTTAGAAGCTTAGTCGAGCAAGTTATGGTGTGGTTGGAGTAGGGCTTCAGAGGTCCTGATATCTTGGGTGAGATGCTCATGTTCAGGTAGATTTCTATGAATACAAAAACAACTTTGTGTTGATAATAATCTCCATGAGTATCAGATATATATTTAATATATATCTGGGACAGGGCTAAAAGAATTTTCCAAAGTARGGACCCCATTTAAGGGGTGAGGTACCTTACGCCAACACACACTATAGTACCTCTCAGGGTGGGGTGGTATATACCGGTAACCACGATCATGTTTTGTTTAGAAAATAGGGTCTATAAGTCATTTTTGAATATGTATAGGGGGTAGGTATCGTACGGAACCCACCAACCTTTTCAAAAAAAATGGGGTCACTACTTTGGACAATTGTTTGKCCCTGTCCCTTAATGAACATTTTCTAGAAGATATGAGTAGCATCTGAAAGTCTCTTTCGAGACAAATGACAGCGCCATCTTGAATGTTYACTGGTGTATCTTAGCATTGTAGGTAGAAGACAATGATAGATACCCTCGTGGATAGTCGTCTGTATGCACTGAAGGAAGATGCTCTCACTGATCATCTCGCTTCCACAATGGAAAGGAATGTCTACTTTTCAAGATGGCGMCGACGAAGTAGTGAAGAAAATAATGTTGAAATCAATCAAAATCGTATTCGCCTTAGTCATTTTCTTCTCCACTCAATCACGATATTAAAAAGCGAGTATTCATATCGCATAATGATTGATAAGTTTATTGATATCATAATTGTAATCACAATCATATTAAATCTTTTCCAAAAAAGCATTACACATTGCATTATGGTCAGTGTTGCACTGAAGCTAGACCACAATGAACCGTGATATCGTTTTCATAAAAGATCTAGTGTAGTCATGAATACGATCGTAATTGTATTTTAACAACATCTTGATCCTTCKCTTACTTGGAACAGTGATGACCTTTCCTCGAGAGCGAGGCCATTTAATAAGCACACCCTCTTTTGACCACGCCCTGCACTGATACTGCCCCATATCTTGAACWGTGACTCCTACCACAGTATAAACATGYCCTTCCTGGACGAACTTTCCAGGAATGAATGGTAAACGTCTCCAGCCATTGTTACGCTGTGYTGGGTATTTCCGATGATAAACAGCTGTGCCAGCGTTAGGATCRTTAGTTGTACAGTTRATGGTTARATTTGATGAAAGCCATTGAGTAGTGAAGGCTTTGGGCTTCGCGAGAAACCGTAATTCTAGAGAATTCAAAAGAATCAAACTTTAAGCTATGAAAGGTATAGTGGATGAAAACGGACAAACTTTSAAGAACACATTTTAAAAGCCATTCTTAAAAGCCATCTAGACATGGTGGTTCTAATTGAATATTTTCAAATTTCCAGTACAAGCAGGCTTAGAAACTTGCGTATGTTCCTAGGAACGATGTTACTTGGCACGCAACAAAATACAGGGAATTAAATTGAGGGTTTTTTTGGCATGTTTGACCAATCAGAGCATGGTAAGCAATTTTTACCGGATTTTCAAGCAAAACCGTCGATACTTACTATTAATTTTTAAGTCGATAAACTTTTCCTGCACCTTGTCCATGTATTTCATTCTACACATGTATGTGCCTTCATCTCTTTGTATTATATTATTCAGTCTAAGTACAAGGCGAAATTCATTGTGTGTTTTGCGCCGTGTTAGCTGGTACCTCGGCACTGCTCTGTATCTTCTATTGACCACTTTGAACCACTTGAGTTTAACGTACGAATCACTGATGCAGGCGATCATCGATGATGAACCTATTTTTACTACTTGTTGTTTATGAGGATGCAGCCGAAGTTTAGGGATATTTTCTGCAATCCAATGCATAGATAGTACATTTGTTAAGGTAGATAACAAACTTATCACTGCTTTTCGCATGTACACTCGTCTTATTTACAGTTCAATTTCATGATTAAGGCATAATTCATACGCTAAATATAACATATATAATTCAAATTCCTAGTCACTGTTCTCCTTTAATTTTTTAGGCGACTGATTTTGTGTGTACGCGCGCGGGCTATCGTGAATGACATCGATATTTGAATCGGCTTGAAAAATTTAAGATGGCTGCCAAAATGACAGATTCCAATGACCCCTTTCCTATAGCTGCGTTTTGGTAGCAACTTTGTAATAATTTCATCATAAATTCAATGGRAAATATAGTTAAAATGCTAAGAAAACGCATCAGTGTTGACGAGGCATGAAATCAAATTTGCCCTTGCTTAGAAGCAGTCCGTAAAAGAGGTCTTTGTGACTACCCCATTACGTCACAACATGGTGGCGCGCGCGATTTCAATATCCCTTGAAAGGTTAATGTCCGTCCACAAGGTACACTTTTTCGAGMAAAACCAGCAAGTTTATTGACCAGTATACTCACGTTTGTATCCGTAGACCATCCCAGTAGATGTGATAACATCCCCTATGGCATTTATAGCATGGCACTGGTACTGACCAATGTCATACAGAGCAAATTTCAAAATAATGTAAACTTGCCCCCTTTTCAAAACTTTGTTGCCGTTGGTAACCACTTGTTTCCAGGGTAACCCACTTTGGTATCTTACGTAGAGCTTTGTAGTGACGTTTGGGTCGTTGGTCGTACAGTCGATAGTGAGGTTGGATTGGAACGCCCTCGTACGAAGAGGGGGGATTGGAGCCAAAAATCGAAATGGAACCAGCCCTGTGATGAGATAAAACATCAGGTAATAAATGGATAGTTTTTCGCCCATTTTACCGTCCAAGCGTAACGTATACACTCCGCAAGAAGACGCAAGCCTTCGTTGGGATCACAGCGGCGTTCTCTTCAGTGCGGTTGCTTTATTTTTCCTGACCTTTTTCCGTTATTGTTAACTCCTTTTCCCTGCTTTCTTCCATTTGATTTCTTTTCCGATTTTCTTTTTAGTTAYATGCATGCTTCTCCGGGAATTTGCTCATTCCTTTTAATTTTCCCATTCTTTGTTTTCGTCCTTCTTAATTTCGTTTTCTCGACTTCTCATTTACTTCAGTCTTATATTTAATGCGATCTCCAGCTACTCTCCCCTATATGAGATAACCCCCGTATCAGCATGAACGACAGCAGGATAGGCCGACAAAGTATTCCGGCTATCCAAGAACTTTATCCTCACTATTGTTCAACCTACGCCAGTTAAATCCTCTCTCAGCTGTAACCAATTCATCTCCTGGCAAGCAGAGTCAAATATTCGTCCTCGCTAAATACGTTCATTTGTGGTTTTAACTAATTACGCTCTCATAGTTGTCTTCAGATTAGAACTTTGACAACATAAAAAGGTTTCTCCAAAAACGCCTCTTATCACCAKAGTTGAGAACTTCTCAATGATGAAATTGAAGCCTCGTAATTATCATCTAGTGATTTTGTTGATTATTTCATACTTTTTGAAGGATTTCTTGAACAGTTTCAATGAATTTGTTCTAATGCACCCGAGAGTAGCTTATCGCATGAGAAAAAAATGAAGGTCACAAGCTAGCCGCACAGTAAAAACTTACAAAACGACTTCCAGACACGCATAACTGTGAAAAAAATTGACACTGAGATATGGACATAGATGCTGCCAGAGGCGCATAGAACTGCAAAGATAACTGAAATTTAATGACCAAATTGAGAGACTTAATGTTTTTTGATAACTAGACGTAAGGTAATACGTCTTTTTTTGGCATGATGGGAAAATAAAAGGCAATTTCATTGAATGAACTATTAATTACAACTGAATAATTATGACTGAGTGAATATACTATAACCRTGAAACTTAATCCAATAGTAGGGGATAAATAATAAGATATAGATAGTTAATTGTGCTCAAGTACATAATCTTCAGTAAAGCCGAAAACACGTGAAATAGATACTACGTTAKCTCGGAGTAATTCTCAAGCTCAGGCTAATKTTGTATGACTTTTTTCCATAGCGTTTCCTCTTTTTCTCTCATAACTATTACAATTTTCTTTTTTTAAATAAAACGATGAAAACCTACKTTGGTTAGGTGGCCACTGTAAGTGTGTATCGGCTGTATCGTTTAGCTTCTAATTCTGTAMCTAAGAATGGCTGTTACACGATGTCACCACTGCGGCGAGACCTCAATCACTGATGCGTTTTTGCAGTAGTTTTTATATTAGTTTTCATTCAAGGACGACGGTGAACAACACRTCAACGCATCAATGGAAATGAAGTCTAATGCATGACATATGTTTCGCGGGTTTTTGTACCTCACTCACGCTAATTAGCATTAATGAYGACAATATTTTACATTCACGAACAACACAAATAATATTGCTTTCCTCCTTACTAAACTAGACTAAACCTAACATGCCTTAAACGTAGCACTAAAGAAACATACTCCATTTCGAAGTAAGTCTCGATCTTAATCGCTGCCACTTTGAGTTTAAACCTCACCTTGAGTAACTCCTATCATCAGAGAAAGTAGAACCGGTAATCGCGATACGTTCATTATCAATTGATAAATAACACATGTACTATGACACTTCAAGCAAGTCCTTTACTATCTTCAGCTGTCGTTCGTGTGCTTACTGGGACTTGTAAGCGATATATCTGGCAGTTGGCCCAGTAYGTATGAAGAAAACAAAGGTCAAGTAGGTACCTCACGATGWGATTTAGAACGAGGTGTCGGCGGCTAGGGGCTAAGTCTCGCCGGGCGTTTACCCTCGCGAAGTCACTGAGAATAGAACTGGTTTAGTATTGTTCTGTTAAACGCCGTCACGTGATCAGGTGAAGGTAGTCATTTTGAGCAACGTGAACTTCAGAGAAATTGTAGCTGCCCTGATTTTTCTAACTTCGCCGGCTAAAAAGAGGYCGCACGCAAAATGCGGTTCGCATTTGGTAGTTAATTCCCTCGTGGAAAATCGAGCGATCAAAAGTGCGTCGTCTCATTAGTACTACATGGACACTAGCTCTAATAGATACAAAGAAGACGACATGATGCGATGAGAACGGATAAGCAGTACTTTTTGCTCTCGTTAGACGTTTTCTCATAAATCCGTGAACACTGGTACACTTTACTTCTTTGTCGTGCACGTACGTTATAGACTGTCATCCTGTTTCACGAGCTTTAGAAGATAACGATGATAGTGATAGTGACAATGACAGTGACAGTGACCGTGACAGTGACCGTGATAGTGATGAAGATAGTGATAGTGATATAGATAGCGATAGCGATAGTGATACATATGGCCATAYAATTTGAGAAAGTGTCGCTGAGACGAAGCAGCTGATTACGCAATAACAGGAGAAGTTTTACCAAGATTGGTAGAATAAATTAAGAATGACGAAAACGWGCGGAGTACAGTCGTTTGATCTCAAATTGCAATCATAATAACGATACGAGTCGTAGTCGTAGTCATAGTCGTAGTACAGTCATAACTATAGTCAAAACAATAGTAATATTAACATTTACAGTCATTTTAATAGTTATCCCACATAGTCAAAGTCACACAACCCTTCAKTTTCTAAAGTATTTTAATATTGTTCAACTAATGACGATACAATAAAATACACAATGTATAAAATGATAAAAAAATATATCAATTTGACTTTGTTCTTATGGCTTTGTCAACGATTGATCAAGAATCTTGCATATATTTACAAATTGTATGAGATTTTCTGAAACATGACTCATTTTCGTGGACATGCGCAGCACTACGCAAATACTTGTAAGACTTATGAAGTCTGAATTAAAACAAMAACAACAACAGGGCACTGTTAATGGCCATRAGACCTAAATTGCGGGTTTAACTAGAACCACATCTTATCTATAGCCATCTATCCTATATCTATACATACAGTAAATTTAAAGTCGATGTTCAGTTGTATAAGACATACAACAAAGTCATTTATTCATTGATAAAATGTTTTTTCAATCCAATGCACCGAAGAAGGATAATGCTGTCAAGTTAAATGGTATTGAGTTATTGASGTTATCTTAAAATTTTGKAACTTGAGGTTGAATAATCTTGGAAAAAAATAGAAATATGACTTTTTTGCTGTCTTTATGTCTTTACACCTGAACAACGTTARTGRGATTGACTATGATTATCTTYTGTTTGTAGAGTCTGTAGGCAGWCTGTTCCTCATTCTCGGCATCCTGAAAAAGACATTATAAAATATTTAATCAGCATGGCAATTCTTAGWTTTTTATCTACACAAGTAGCTCATAACAATAGCAAGAAACACATTAGCTATTTTAGTTTATGATGGTCAACGTTTCCATGGCAAAATCGTTCATGTTGTGGTCGTTTCGCTGATGCAGTTACAGTTGTGTCGTTTTGTTATATTGTTGTTATTATTGTTGTTATACTGTGTTGTTGTTGGTGGTGGTGGTGCTTTCGATGTAGTTCGTGTTGTGCATTTTGTTTCGTTTATTATTGTTATAGTTGTAGTCCGTGTTGTGCTTTCTTTTTGCTGAGGTTGTTGTTGATACAGCTATTGTTGGTGTCGTTGTTGTTTTGTGCTCTGGCCATTTTTGCTTTAGTATGTTTATTGATGSAGTTGGTTTTCGCTTTCTTTTTCATTGCTGTTGTGGTTGTTGCTACCGTTGTTCTTATATAGCTTGATGATGGTATTGCTGATGTAACAATTATAGATATCAATAATCTTTTTGCCTTCCTACCTTAAAAACACTATTTTCCAACCCTCATGTTTGCTTTTGTTTCGCCATTCACGTTAAAAGCTTTGCAAGTGTACTCGCCCGCATCCTTCTTAATGTCGAAGTGTTTAATCTTCAAAGCGCTTCGAACCCTGCGCGATTCAGACACAACCGAGTGTAATTTGATTCGGTAATGTTTACTGGTACATGAGTTCAGATCTAGAGCTAATTGACATCCGGGGACTGTTATCTCTTTTCCATCTTTGTACCACCGAACTGAGGCTTTAGGGTGGCTTTCTATAACACATTCAAGTAGGACACCACGTTTGATGACGATGGGACTAGATTGACCAGTGTGGGAGATGATTCTTGGGGGTTTCCTGTCTAAAGCAACGAATAATGTTTTTAAGTAAAAATATCATATATTTTTAAAGTTGTCATAACTTATGGCTATGTTTAATATAGATGATGACCAGGGGCGGATCCAGGGGAGGTGCTTTGTGTGCGGATGCACCATCCCCCCCCCCTTCCTTTTTCGAACGACATAATTTTTTTATATATATGAGTATAAACGTTTTTGTGCTGTTTATACTCCTGTTGTACTTTTATCAAGAAAACGTTAGTAGCATACACAACATGTGTCTGCCACTATGCTGCTTAACAATCTATTTGAGTAGTGTAGTCAAAAAATACGTTGCAATAAAAGTCAATTTCCTTTCGATAAAATTGTGCATATTTTTCTTGCTCTAGACAATACCCAGCTAACAAAAATGACCAGTTCCATCTGCTATAATTAGTTTTTATTTATATAAAATTGACTACACTACTCAAATAGATAAATAGATTGTTAAACAGCATAGTGGCAGGCACACGTTGTGAATGCAGGAGTATAAACAGCAGGAAAAAAAACGTTTTAACTGATATATAAAAATTATATCGTCCAAAGGGGGGGGGGATGCGTCCGCACCCAAAGCACCTCCCCTGGATCCGTCCCTGAAGCTGTAGCAAGAACAGTGACAAAAAATTACGATTACAATGACAACAACATCAACAGCAGCGGGATCAACAGCAACAACTYATTACAATTGCTAAACAACTCACCGAATACTTTGACCGAGACTGTCACAAATTTCATTTTTTTCCGATAGCTCATCTCACACTTGTACARCCCACTGTCGGACACATTAGCCTTCTCAATTCTCAACACCAGCTGGTTTGTTTTTGAACCAGAATGTTTAATGGTCTTGGATACTGGCACAGGATTAAACGTATTCCTTGCCACTTCGCGGAACCATTTCAACTGAACTGATGAACTTTCAGCAGTGCAGGTAAAGCTCAAACTGTCTCCTTGTGATAGATATTGCTCCTGTATCGGCGAAATGGACATTTTGGGGAGGACATACAAATCAGGAATCGCGAAATACCCTATAGCATTCGGCCACTCGATTTTATAGCCACTTGAATTATWAGCCACGCATTTGTATCCTCCTGCATCACTCACGGAAAATTGTGTGATATCGTATACGKCAGATTTTCCAGTTTTCGGAATAGTTTTCCAGGAAAGTCCATCTTTTTTTAASAGCCATGATGTTGCGTTTGGATCACTGGTGGTACAATCCATGCTAAAGGTCTCTCCAAGCATAATATTTTGTAACATTATGTTATTTYTGGGTTTGGGTTTTAAGAAGCGAAAGACATCTGAAAATGGACAGATATGGTAAATATATCGCTTTATAACTGCGTCATTCTTATACTGAACAAAACTACAAAGCATGAATAACTAGATAGATGAATGGATGAACAGATGGAGAAATGGATGAATGGAAAAGATAGTTAGATGAATAGAATGAAATGAATGAATGTAAAAAATGGGAATAAATGGAAGATCATTTCAAATTCAAAGAAAACAAGAAAGAGTGAGTATTGAAGAGGGTTATATAGATAGCTAATTGACGGAATGTTTTAAGAACAAATTCACGATTTAGCAATACCTGGTGTGACTGCTACTTCAGAGTCAACATGACCAAACTTATTCGAAGCTTGACAAGTGAAATAGACGGTGTCATTTTCATTGAATTGGTGAATTGTTAAACTGCTATTGACTAGAGTGCTTGTCATCMACTTRGAAATCAAAGTATATTGAGATCCATCGCATTTCATATRAKCAGCTARCGCACATCCAGGAATGTTTATTGGTTTCCCATCTTTAAACCACTCTACGATGGGTTTAGGGTAGCCATCAGCTATGCACCCAATGGTGACTTTGCTGTTTATTTTGACAAGAGGGTCTTTGTTCTTGATACCCGTTATATTGGGAGGTTGGGCGTCTGAAATGGAGAGTTATTTTTATTTTTTATTTTATTAGCTTCGCCAAGAATAACATCTGTAAATACATGAGTACATAACATAAATAAATAACATGCAAACACAATAATGAGAAAGTGGCAGGGACACCGCAACAGCAGAGCCAATTACAGCGGGCCCAAGGTAAAACGATTAAAAGACAAGAACAATAAAATTACATACAGCAAGATATTCTTACGTTAAGGGGACGGGCAGAATTACATTTTAAACAGATAGTCTTAAAGGTTCTTGGATTATAAGGGTCATAGGAAATATAGAGACTGTCCAGATAATAATTATACAGTGCAGATTTAAAGGAGCTCAAGCTTAAAGTATCAAAGTTTAAAAGACTAACTAGTGTGTTCCATACACGACAGGATCGAATGAAAAATGACTTTTGATATGTACTTGTTTTACAGTTTTTAGGAACAAATTTGGTAAGATTGTTAGAGTAGCGCGTAGGTCTTGCAACACGTTTAATTGGAAGATTGGAAGTTCTATATGTTAGTGAGTTATGTAAGTGAAACAATACGCTTAATTGTGGTATGCATTTGCACCAGCTGTCCTAACAGGTCCAGTACGCATGCTCAAAAGACAGAAAAGCATCACGGGGGRTTTGATTTATCTTTCCAATGCATTCACTTGTGTTGGCGAATGGTGGGTTTATGAAAGCATCATACAAGGTATGGTTTGGTCAAYAAAATTGTGATTTATTACCAAAACATAAATTCTTYACATCCATTGCGYTCTCCGCTGTAGAACTGATTCTGCTGCAATTTTTACTTTTGTTTTATTTTTTTCTTTCAACTACTTACCATATACATCAAGGGATGCCATTTCGTATCTTTGTCTACCTGCGAAGTTCAAAACACACTTATAYAGTCCTGARTCATCTTTCGTTGCGTTGCGAATCATCAAAATCAATTGTTGGGTGTTCCCRATGATTCTCGTTGATGTTTCAGATGCTGGTAATTGAACGTCCTTATGGTCAGCTCCAATCTTAAACCACTTTAGGTCTGTATGGAGCTTTGAGGAGCATGTGAAATCAAAGCTCTCTCCCACTATTAGGAACTTTTTGTAATTTGGCGACACTGTAACCTCGGGTACTTGTAGGATCGTTGGGATAATAAATATGCCRGAGTTGCTGGGCCATTCGATTGTGTCCCCCTTGGAGTTAGTTGCCACACATTTAAAGTGACCCTTTGAACGTATCGAGATTGGAATGGTATATACACTGCCTGACTTGGTATACTCGGATTTGTCGAGTTTTCTCCATTTGACATTTAAAGCACCTTTATAATGTAATGACGGCGTTACTTTGGGATCGGTCGTGGTACAGTTCATCTTCAATTTGTTGTCAATGTTAATGTAAATCGGGTGGATAGCATTGCTCGGCTTTGGAGCTACGAAYTTGAAGACGTCTGCAACGAAATTATTGTCAAACGTGTTTAGAGATGTGAAATAATATTAGCAGGAAAGTAGGGCCGGGATGGTCGTATTTGCACATGCTTACTACAGGAGAAGTCGGTAACTATATTTATAAATACTGAACTGTTCTGAAAAATAAGATTCTAACAAGCAAAACTGGGACGAAACACTGCTTTTTCACTTAACTTGTTGAAATTTAGATCCTTTAGCACCTCGGACACGTTTTTTTAGTTAGGAAATTTGGAGTTTCTTGGGAAACTTTTTAGAACATTTCCCTCCCTTTCGGAAAAATTGTTATTTCTCATGCTCAACGTATGTTAATCTTGCTACGTTAATCTTGCTGATAACAACTTGTTACTTACACCTGACTGGGACATAAGAACAAATATATTTCCCCTGRGACCCCTCCCATAGTTTCTAGCCATTTGTACTAATGACATACCTGCGTACAATGCATGTACCAACTTAATACTTTAAAAGACATACAAATAGAGATAAATAAAACAAGCATTTCAAGTAAATTTACTCACGAGGTAGAACTGTCAACGTAACAATTTCATGCGTTTGCCTTGTTTTAAAATCAAGCACACACTTGTAACTACCAGTATCACTCTCCTTCGCTTGCTTTATTTCCAWGATGACTTTTTTAAACGCAGGTCCAGTTTCTGTCCAAATCTTATTGGCTGGTACTGGATATTCAGTTCTCCCGWCCACTTTGTACCACGTGAGATACGTATTGCTTCCACTTTGACATGAAATATTCTTACTCTCCCCTACTTGTAAGTTAACTAACCCCTTAGGAGCAACAGATAATGTCGGAAACCTGGATGATGGAAATGTCGGAATCAAGTACAGACGATTAGGCCATTCAATTCTTTGGCCTGTTAGATTSTCAGTTGCACGGCACTTGTACTGTCCTGCACCGGGAAATCCAACTTTTAATAATGTATAAACATCTCCATCCTTTTTGATTGGTATTTGTTTTAAAAAAGGGCTTGGGAAAGGAACCATATTMCCAGAATGAAACTTGAGTAATTCTGTGGTTACGTTAGTGCCATTAGTAGTGCAGTCTATGACAAAGTCATCACCAATGTTTACACTTTGAACAATCTTTGGTTTGCGTAAGAATTCAAAGCCAGAMGAAGCACCTAAAAATGATTTAAAGTTAATAACATGTAGCGTCACTYCGATAGAGGGAACCGTCAACCAATTTTAAAACACTAAAAAGCCAGCAAGAGATAGAGATAGCTGGATAGGAGGGATGAAGGCTTTATGCGGCTACTGGCGCGAGATGGAGATGATGATGATGATGATGATGATGATGATGATGATGATGATGATAAAAACGGTTTAGCAGCTGATCGAGACTGGACAGAAAACTCCATCAAGGAAATGGTTGGAGCGATTTTCCTAAACGCGTGAAACGATGTGAAAGAGTAATATTTTGTAATACGCTAAGTCTATTCACGAGTTGATGAAAATAAATTATATACACTCGATCGTTCCAATCAACGTACGGCAATCGCGGCAATTAAGATGATGATGATCGATGATGATGATGATGGTTGATTTCCACTGTATTACGACGCAAATACCGTATTGATGATGATAATGATGATGAAACTGATATTGATAGTCGGTAAAATTAACCAATAAGAGTATTGCTGTTTAGTCTAAGAAAATTTCGGCCACAACGCAATACTCCTAACAAACAATCAAAGCATTTTAAATGTACACAGGAAGCCCGTTCTTTTTAGAAAGGAGAGAGACGCCTGTGAAGGAGGCTAATTCTAACTTGATATCACTAAAAATTTCGTTTACTCGTTATTGCTATGAAACTTTGATAATTCCTTGTTTTTTGTTGTTGTTGTTTTTTAATCAACGATTGAGTCAACTCAAATGCAAGGACGGATCCAGAGTTTTCAATATGGGGTAATATAACCAATAAATCTGTTTTGATTTTCAATTTGTATGCCCTCCACGCATAAAACAGTCCAATAAGGATCGGGGTTAAAGGTCCCGCTGTAGCCAMCCTAGAGATTATGCCTTAGTCTTGGTTTACACTGCTGAAGCCACTCATTCCCTAAGAAAACTTTGAGCAATGCAATTTTTGCACATGATAGAGCATAGCTACACACCACGTAGTGAATACTTCATCTGATAGTTTGTAGGGATCCATGTTCATCGTCAGAAACATAAAATAGGATGGTAACATTATATTGTGGCGAATCTACCTAAAGTTGATAGCGCACGAACAAAATACAAAACAAGCCAGGAGCAACCAATTTCAAATTTGATATGATAATCAAAATATTGAGCCGTCAGTGTTRCAAAGAAACTCAACTATTGTAATACGAAAAACAGTAACGCTTCCCTTGAAACTACTTCAAACCAATGGCGCAGTATTGATGAGGACCGGAACAAATAAAGAATATATTATATGAAAACAAACCTTAAAGTTTAGCTTTTCTATACTTACAAATTAAACCTGGCAATAGTATCAATAGGGTAATTCCGTACATCATTTTCGGCTTCTTATTAAAACTCTCAATCCGGTAAACTGCTTTGGTTTCAGCACTACTCACTTCTACTTCACTCTCTGAAGAGATCRAGTTCCTTATAATAGGGTCTTTACGTCACGGTGATGTCCTATTTAAACCAGATCATGTTCACAATAACGTCACGTTTTCTACGGTAGTCTTCCCGCCCTTCCGGTGATCAATGTCAAGATCGGATGGCTACTTACGACAGAGCCTGGCTGGATATTCTAGAAGACTTGGTGATCTGGAGGTCATTTCATGAGGTGGCATGACTGTCGCGAAAATTGTTGCGAAAACAATTAATAGTCAAAATACATGAGCTTACATGGAATAGACGCTTAAGAATCCCTTGTATAGTAATCATATCTGGTGATCAAAAYATTTGTCCCGCGGGAGGGGAGGCATCTCGTAGAGGTAAAAATTTGTGATAAATTTGTGATTGGGAACTTAAATCTTTTAGGATGGTGCCAATTTGGAGTTTCTGAAAATTTGCATTTCACACATTTGTAATTCCCAATGTCACTTGTTTGTGCATTTGTTAATTTCAGCACCACTATTTTCACCATTTGATTTTCTGATGAGTTCTGCAATCTCTTAGGTTGTCGGAAAAGAAGCGAAAAGGCGTATCGATATTGATTTTCCTCTGCGTTTTTATCTGATTTAATTTAACATTATTTGCTATGCAATCTTTTAGGGGTTAAAACCCAGTCAGCCACGCCCTTTTTTCAAGGCTTCCGGGATCTTTTTGAAAATTGCTGGCGAGCATCCCCGTTACTTTTACCCCGGAGTTTTCCCGCCTCCGACACTACCAATAGAATGCATGACCGAAAGCCATTATGGGTATTGGTTGATTATTGATAGGAATATTCATTGTTTAAAAAAATGAATATCTTTGTCCTTGTAGTTATGGTTTGTTTGCTTTTTTTCTGTTTTCTGTAGATGAGTGAATGTTATTTATCGTCTGCGCAATCGCCTTCTCCGCTCTGACAACTAGACGATCACAGATCGCATTCATTGACTTCCTGTGTCAATATAGATTCTTAAATGTCACGAAAAAAAACTAAAAGAATCATTGGAAGACATGATTGTAGATACAGTACTCCGTCATCGTGAAAAAAAGTACTTTCGAGTAACCGGATGCATATGTAATTTTATATTCACGGCAGAGATGACGTCAAAATATGGTAAAAATGCAATATAATATCAACAACACAAAAAACCACAGCTGTTGGATTAGAGTGCAATCGAGTAGTCTGCTGTGTTACAGATGGCCTGTGTACATCCGTTCCCACCCTCCCCCCTATATACGGGGGAAATTCTGGGAGGAATTTTCATCGTAGGGGGGGATGGGTGGGAACTGATGTACACAGGCTAAAACAACGACGCAGGCTGGTTCTCTCTGACTCGCGAGCAGAGGACGTTTTCTCGTACYATCCCCTTGCAAAGAAGCCCTAACTTTATCACCGGGGTTAGTACTGGACTTCATTTTTAGAGCTCATCACATGCATGCTCTGCAGTCAAAACGAAACTGTAGTTTGTCACGCAACACTACATTCAAACTGCAATCTCACATTCTGAATCTCTAGACGTTCTCGCTCTACTCCATGCCCTCCATGCATGGCAAAGTGAAAGGACGTACATGGGTAATGGTGAAAAACATACGTTGAATTTCGTCGAGTTGGGCAAACGAATTCTTATTATTCTCGTGATRATAACCGCAATCTCTGGAATCTGGTTACTAGAGAATCAACCAAACATTTCTCATCCCCAGCCGAGAGCCAACTTAAAGTGGAGCTCATATCTCTCTGTGAAGAATTCATCCAACGAAACTATGACCAGTGACTTTAAGCAAGATCAAAGCAAGGTTATGTCAACTCTTGGTAGTGAAGTATCTCTAGAACCTAAAKCACCGTTCAATTACTTTAAGACAACTCTTTGGGGCAAAGAAAACGTCGAGGCATGGAAGCGTATTTACGGAGATATGAACTGCGCTGGCAATTCTAAAAGAAAAGCTATAAATGCCATCATAACGACWTGGCTTGARTTAGTCAAAAAGTACGAGATAGACTTCGCGTTTGTGTACGGAAGTTTGATYGGYATWGTGAGAAACAACGATATAATACCATGGGACCACGACGTGGACGTGTATATTGAATACAAAGATGTTTTGAAATTGGAGAAAGCCGGCTGGCCTCGAGATATTCGTATAGGAAAGAATAAAACTTTCGTTAATTATATACCAAATTCGGAACACAGTAAACCAGTGGATGARAGGATAAGATGGGATTGCAAAGGCAAGGTTGGTATATGTCTTTTCCTTTAGTTTACGTGTTCTTATATTCTTCTAGCCTCGTATGCAGCTGCTTCTTTGTGTCTCTGTTTCATCACGCAACGTTTAACTTTCGCCTAAGTGGGAAATCTATTCGTGTGAGAGCACAAAAGAGGGGCTGCGCTGGTGACTTGTTGCTCGCCTTTGGCTCGGATGTTTCTGTTGCTCCTATCTTCAGTACCTTCTCCTACTCTCATTTTTTTAACCTCATTTCCAGGCCCTTATCCCTTTGCTTAGGGTCAGGCCTTGGAACGAGGTTGAATTCCTTTTCTCCTTTTTTCTTGTATCTCCTTTTTATGAGACAAAAGACTTCTCTTCATTTCTCCTGTCCTCTTTAACTTTCTCGTTTACTCTTATAATCGGCTTTCTTTCTATATCTTTTCTCTCCACTTTTCAACACTTCTTTTCTTTTCATTGCAGCCTCTTGTTATAATCCTTTCTTTTGCTTCTTTCTCGCCTCGCAAACCCGCCTCCCTTTTCTGTGTCCTCCCTTTTTTGAGTCCGTCCAATGAGAGAGATTTKACTTAGATTCTCACTGCCAAGACGCAGCGAGCCGACTTTGTTGAACTGACGACACCAGGGGACGTAAAAGAATCATAATAYTTATTTCAGTTTAACATGCTATGCGCTATTTCATCTCTTATAACATATTTATAAATTCTAGGCATCACCACATTCAGCTGACMAATGTGCAATCCAAGAGCCTCTAGTGCGTCTTTACAACGATGGAGCATTTCTAGATGTTTTAGATTATAGAATCAAGACAGATACTATCGAAATGCGTTCAGAAGGAAGACTATTTATCACAAAGAAAGAGCACTACTTTCCTATTCGGCGTTGTATGTTTATGGGATTTGACGGTTGGTGCCCCAATGACCCTCGAGCGATGCTGGCGAGTTATTACGGAGAAAAGTTTTTGATCTCGAACAAAAGGTGTAAAAATGGCCAATGGGTGAAGAGAAGAGTTRGATAAAAAGATAAAAATTATGCCTATTTATAATCTATGCCTATTTATTAATGATTGWTACTACAACTGTTTATTTAGTGATTATTACTATCTTATGGTGTAGGGACCTCTCTGCTCATTATGTTAAGGCAGAAATCTCTGAAAATTTCACCTTGGATTGTAACCTTTACACAGGTTAGACGATAAAGATAAACTGCTTTAATTCTATATCAAAATAGATTATTTCTGTACAGTTATAAACTGTACATGAAGTAATTTATAATGGCAATGATATAATGGAATTGCTCAAAACTGTTCAGCCTGTTCATGCAAGAAAAATGAAGAATAAARCGTGTAGTAGAGGAAGTGGAAAACACTGTTATTTTCAAGTAGTTCAAATAACTCCACCAATGGAGTTAAAGTTACTTTACCTGGTGGAGTAAGTTTAGAAAACGTTAAATCTACTCTACAATACGAGTACTTTTTACTCCAGAGGTTTCAATCAACTCGGAGAAAGAGAGAAAATTACTCCAAAAGAGGTTCAACATTGCTCTTAAAATTGGAGTCAAACTTTCTCGCCCTCGATTTTCCCTCATATCCAGTTGGAGTYAAACTCCACTGAAACAGGAGTTAACTGGAACCATTTTTTTACCCCTTTCTTTTGGAGTTATATCAAACTCTTGAAAACAGCAGTAGACCAGAAATTATATGGAAAAAAAAGATAGAAGAAAAATATGAAAATCAAGATAAGAAAAGGACTATAAGAACTCCTCTTCTACTGAGCTATGTTGTGTCAAGAAAAACTCTAAAAAAGGAAAATTAATTAGAAATGTTTTCTCTTGATAAAGTATATACTACCTACACTGTATCTTAGGTAAGTRGATGGGTGTTCAAGACTTAGAAGTGACTTGGACCGTAAGTGAATTCGCCACGTGTCCATTTGGGTACATCGCTTTACAAACGTATTTGCCTTTATCAGCTGCTTGAAATGTTTTCAGCTTCAGAAGAGATATCACCTTTCGTTTCTGTGACTTGGTCTTGCTGGTAATGGTCAAGTGGGATGGAAAAGGTTGTCCAATCAGCTTGTCATCCTTGTACCACATGATCGTAAAGATTGGCTGAGGTTTTGGTGGATAAAACTTTGCAACACACTTGATGTACAAAGTCCTCCCTACAATGGCATTGATTTGTTTCTTTGGTGTCTTAAGTGTAATGCTGTATTTCAGAATCTTTTTCTTGKGATCTACTTTTCCCTTTTTATTCTTTGATGGTGTCTTCTTCTTTCCTGACTTTTTGCCACCTTTTTTACTGTTTTTGCCTCCTTTGCGTTTCTTCCCTTTYTTTKTCTTYCCAGGTCTCTTCTTTCTGTGTCTTTTGTTACCTGTCTTCTTGTGTGGCCGCCTTTTCTTCTTTYCATTTTTCTTTGAAGGTCGCTTTAGTTTACTTTTCACCACAACTGGTTTCTTTGAACCAGAGATTTTGCCTTGCTCTGATTCTAAGTAAGAAGATGGCACAAAATTTATTAAACTGATATTATGTATTTAAATCAACTTAGTCCAGACATCTTTTTTTACATTCCTTTTGATCAGGCGGGAACATCGAATTGCCCAAGGGCACACGAGCGCAGCCATAGTAAGGTTTTGAACATTTTATGCACCAAGAGTGTGACACAAAGAGGACATACAACAACAGCAACTGAACAACAACAACAACAGCARCAACAACTGAACAACAACAACTGAACAACAACAACAACAGCAAAAACAAACGTGAACAATTTGTTTTTATCACATTTTAAGTAAAAAAATATTGTTTTTGTTATTTTTTAAAAACGATTTATACATACTGCCTTTATCTTTAGTAACTATGACTTTTCCAACATGAGGTGGCCAGGAAATAACAGCACCATTCTTCCCTTTCCAGGAACGACATTGGTACTGACCCCTGTGTTTACGTTCTGCATTTATCAGAGTGTAAACTTGCTGTTTCGCTTKAACAATTTGATCAACACCAGGTTTGAGTAATATCCAGATCTTCTGGGCGGGTTTTCGCTTRTAGTAAACCGCTGTTGTAGCATTGGCATCATTTGTTGAGCAATTGATCGTTAAGTTGGATGATATCGATATTTTCTGCTTTGCAACAGGAATTGAGATAAAACGAAGCTTCGTTTCTGCAACAAATAATAGAAAAGCCTCGGTTTGTACTCCACATGACAAATAAAATCCTGAGATTGACAACAGCGAAGCTGTCGTCGCCATGATGGAAGTTATCTTGCTAAACATGGAAGGGACTCCGCTTACAAGCAACAAATGTATATATGATGTTTGAAAATATAAACTTTATGTAACATCTTAAAAATTTGAATGAAAAATTTCACGTTTTTCACCTTAATTTTTGTTCTTAAATATTGAAAGCATTGAAAGCTCAGCATCAATCTTACACCAGCCTTCAGTTTTCGCAGGCGGGTAGTGTACTCGGTTCATGAGAATTGCTCTAGCTACAGTAGGCCAAACTCAGCGGGAACGCATTTTCTGACGAGTCTTCCGAAAAGTTCCATTGAYTTGAGCGTTTTCCAGGATATTTGTTATCTGCTGACCATGTGTCAATGCAACTGTTCAAACTTACAATTACTCAGAGGAGAACTGTATTCTTCGTGTGCATGTGATGTCATAGTCACGCAAAAAATCTCGCAAATCACTCTTTGGTGGCGAATCACAAAAGTTTTAGTTTGTGCGGAGTTTAATTTATTCTACTTTTAGATCGTAAACAAAAACTTCSAAATTGGATAAATCATTCTTTCAACTCCGTAAGAACGTACTTAAGGTGATTTTTCTTTGAAATAAACCATAATTGAACAAAATTTACAAAGGAAATCAAGGAAACCAGAGTTTTTGAAGTCAATTTGAAACCAGCCGCCATCTTGGATGATCAAAGTTATCATCCAAGATGGCGTCCCCATACAAATYAACCAAATATTTCAAMTCTTTATTCGCTGATATCTTCATCAGAAAGTAAGCTGCAGGCCTTAAAGCTCGTATTCTAGATAATCTGACTATGCTCTTTGTGACTCGCTACTTGGTTTTTGAAAATAAAGACTAATAAATTTTCAGTTTGGGGGTTGCACACCAAGAATACCAGAGGCTGGATTTATTCTTAAAGTATATTTACAGCGCGAAACTGCGGTTAAAGGTTCGGCCTTATATAACTGTAGGATAATATAGTGTTTTAATGATGTTATAAATACTTATATTTCAAATTTTATWTATTCATAATTGTTTTAGTCAGTTTAGAAGGGCCACRAGTTTATTAGTATTGTATACTATTACGTGTTTACCCTCGTTAAATAAAGTCCTTACTTACTTACTTACTATATATGACCTCGTAGAAGGCCCTTCGTGACGTAAATGAACTATGAGAAAGAGTAAATCCAGCCTCTGGTACCCAGGSTAAGGAGATCGTTATTCGGATGGAGATTCATATAATTGCATTATAAGATTATGGTCGATTATAATTGCATTATAAAAGAAAGCGGGCAAAGCACTCTGGTAGAAGTARTATATGACGTCATCGTGAACATCACTTAAAGATAACTTAGTTTTCTTGGAGAAATGCCAAATATTTTCAGTGAACAAGTAATTATTCTGATAAAACTTAATTCCGACGGATCAGTATCGGAACACATTATAATCGTCACGTTTAAAGCAATGTCAGTTCTCGTGTTTCATGTTTTTGTGATGGAATAATGTTGTTTTTGGTTAAAACTATTGTTTATGTTTTGAATGATTTTTAATTATTAGTTTGTTTGTATGTGTTTTGTTAGACTGTAATCACATGCAATCTGGTATACCCCAGCCAGGATGATCCGCGCATCTGGCTGATTGCTAAACGATTCGTAGTGGGAGACTACAGACATCCGTACCACATGGTAACACTTCTCGGCGTACAAGTTTTCATCGCATTTAAAGCAAATGTTCACAGAATCAACTTTAGTGTCAGTGGATCACTTGATAGATGAATTGAAAAGGTCAACGGTCCATTAGCARCAGAAAACAGTSCGTGCGAATTGATTCTAATGGACTAAAGTACTATAAYTCTAATGTTACCAATCTGCCCATCCCACAYTGAAAAAGTCCCGTTTTTCAAAGTAGAAAAAWCAAGATTTTAATGCATACTGTAATCCTGTAGCCACGMGATATTATGTCTKGTTACAAGATATGATGTCTGCTTTAGAAACATTTSAAAGAAACTCACTATCAGCACTTTAACCTGGGGTTTTCAATGTTGATATATGAATGGCTATCTTCGGTATATCAGATCGACCTTAAACTATTCTGCTCAATTRCTAAGATCTAACCAATTTTATCCAGTGCAAGTTCAGTTTAAATACTAATTTTACTTAATTTTCTTTTAAATTCAGGAAAGTCTATATAACACTTCTGTACATGAGTATCGATTTCTCTGAGAACTTAAATTGAGCACTTACCAGAAAGGACGAAAGAAAAACAACTGAAGACAATGAACGCAAACGCCGTCCACGAGTRTGAAGACATCACGATTCAATAGTTGCTCATACCTTTCGCATGCACCAAATGAGACGTTCTTTCTATATTTATGTGAACGCGCTGGAATTCTAAACCAGACAAACAGGTAAGACTGGTTAAACAGGAATAACAGGAATTTGAGTGTTACAAACAATGAAGACCTTTATGAGAGGTGTCTTGCTTGAGGGCAATGCTTTTACGGTGAAAATGTGATCCATATGAAAGCAAATCTGGTCCATATAAAACAACACTGCATGCAAAAACATTCTTTACCTCCAGATGTATGAGCTGTCTTTTTCTGATAAAAGGAATTCACGTCATGAGAATAGATAYTTGATTTTTTCAAGAACATTTTTTGGGGACATGTCCATCCATTTGGACTCTCGTTAAACCATAGTAGATAATCCTCTTTCAGTGGTTCCTCGCCCTCGAAATGAAGATACTATAATGATGTAAATATAATTACATCGAATAAAATCAAACAAAACACCAACTTGAAGCTATAATAATTCTGTTTTATAAATCTAGAATTATTTATAAGTGCCTATATTTCTCACTTTAGAAAAGTTGTTATTTTATTTAAATTTCATTTTTTTTTATTTTTATTAATTATTTGTTGAGCCTAGGTATGAAGTCTATATACAGGCAAAGATTAGGGGGTGTCAAAAGATAATTAGACTCAAAAAAAAAAACACAAATAAAAATGTTGTGGGCATTTTTTCTCAATTGATCCTTATTATAGATAATGTTGGTCTTTGACTGGGCTACATATGAACAAGCTTCTACGCAAGTTGAAAATGAGGGTGCAGTGAGGTTATGATTTTTTATGAAGAGTCTTTTGTCAAGTAGTATTTTGTCAATCAGAAAAGTAAACAAAAGTGTTATTTTTTCGCTCTAACCAGACAACACCATGAAGTGCTCTATATTCATCGGGGACGAGGGCGGGTAATCTTCGAGTTACGCGCTTCGAGTTACGCGCTTCGAGTTACGCGCTTTTCGAGTTACGCGCTTTTAAATGAAAATCAATTTAAATGAACAGAATCACGCCATTTCTTCACAAAGTCACTCAACAATGTTTTTTTTGAATATATTTCTATCATTGGAGGTGACAAAACAAAAAGGAAAACAATGACGACTCACCATGATGCATGTTATCAATGATATCAATGGAGATCAATGTGGGTTGTGTACTAACATTCAATTAATGATACGTCGACTAAAGCCCCTCGTTAATGGGTTAATTGAGGACGGACACAGAATTTAGCAAATAAAAATTAACTTGCATTGTGAAGATAAAGAGAAGCCATTTCTGTTAGTAGATTTAAAAAGACGTACATATTGGTGTACGTGATATTCCAATTTATCTTTCTATCAAAGGTCGAATGATAGACGACCCTTACATCATAGAAGTATCTATTTCATCAATGTGAACGCAAGAAGTTGTTGTAAATAGTTTATTGAAAATAACTGAATGTGAAATATTAGCTAAGCTATAACATATTTACCTATAGAGTACTCACAAAAATACTATTTTATAGCGGAGATACTAGCGATTTTATGGTCGGCTTACCACTGAAACGCTTTGTAATTTGGGCTCGTTCACAGTAACGAAAAGAACGCGACCAAATTTACAAGCGTTCGTATGTAGTCACCCGACGATAAAATCGCTTGTATATCCGCTATAAAAGACACTATAAGAGTCTCAYATTGAGCAAGGATGCATTAAATCATGCACTTTCAGAATATGGAGACCAAATTTAAAAACTCAAACATTTTCAAACATTTTCGAGCAGCCTAAAAGGGCTACCATTTGTAATTTTAAAACTTGACATATTTCATATTCTATATATATTTTATATATTTTGCTTCAAAAATAAAAGCCGTAAAAGCAAGGAGCTCTTTTTTATATTGATTTTAATTTAAAAGCGCGTAACTCGAAGGCACTAAGCTATTTTAGTTACATCGAGTTACGCGCTAGGCGCGTAACTCGAAGACACTAATGTATGTTAGTTGCATCGAGTTATGCGCTGGGCGTGGCCGAGGCAAATTTGGGCRTGGTCGAGCGCGTAACTCGAAAAGCGCATAACTCGAAGCGCGTAACTCGAAGCGCGTAACTCGAAGATTACCCGATCCCATCGGGGACTGAGACAACCTCAACATTGATTGTTTTAGCATATGACACCCCTCACGGTTGGTTCAGACCGACGGTAAAAAAAAAAGAAAAAACCATCGGAGCAAGTAAGAGAATTAGCGGTACAAAGAGGATTTTCAATACGATATTTCACGGTTTTCATTAACTAGACTAGATACTTCACGAGCTGTTTTGGTTTGTTTTAATTTCAGGGTATTATTTCGTTTGTTTGTTGTTGTTTTTTTTTTGTTTTTGTTTTGTGCGTGATAATAAGGCCGATGTGAAATATTTCTTGGTGATTCAAAATGGAAGCATTATTGTAATAACAAAGTTGCTGCTCGACAATTTGCTCATCTATTTGGTCGTAAGTATATTTCTCTTCTTATTCGCAAATTTCAGTTGAGGATCTGCGCATGTTCATACCGCAAATTGTGATGACTCGCTGCAATCTAAATATTATGGATCTGATAGCAGGGTTAAAACTGGTCATCATGTTGAAATCATATTTTGGGTAAATATTGACACGTTAAAAGCATTTTGGCCATTTTTGCAGCATATTGGGCACCCGGGATTGGCACCATAGTAGAACATAGTAGTACGGGCAGGTTCAATCTTAAGCTCAGAGTTTTTCCATGTGTTACCCCGGACTCATAMCCAGTCGTTACGCACGTAGGAGTTGACTGGTTGATCGCGCCTTTTCTTCGCCCTTCCCACCATGCATTGCGCGCGGCTCGAGAGAAGCGACTGGGCACGAGTCTGATGTTACCATGGTTCCAGAGGCTTTTCTTTGAGCCGTTTGTTTGATCAACGGAAACCTATAGTAAGCAAAAGAATCAAAGCCAAGCCAAATCAAGCCGCCAATGGCGACACAACTTGAAGATTGTTAAGAGTTGTCATTATTTACTGGGGGGGTGGGTGGGAAGCCGCTAAATTTGCATCGAACCCTGTTGAGAAAAGAGAGGCCCTCCCTTGTAAGACAAAGAAAAATATGTGGCCCTCCCTTGAATCGGGTACAAAACATTATGATCCTCCCTCAAAATATATATACTAGATATTCCGCTTAAAAATATATTAAAGAACTTTTTGTTGAGTAAACAATTGGCACATTTTATTCAGGGTTCGTTGTACTCCTTGAAAAGCCCTTGAAATGAAAGGTTTTTATAAAGGGCATTTGAAAAGATCTTGAAAAATAAAAAAATACTGCTAGAATTATTTCTTTTTATCGTATCTATTGCATTCGTGCAAAGCAATCTTTTATGATAAGTGTTGTGATCCTTTGTGTAACAAACCGCAGTTATGTCCTTTATTTTTCTATGTAACAGACTACAGATATGTCCTTTTATACTTCTAAGTTCGGGATGTTAGCTAACTGTCTTTAGCAATGGGCACATTTCTCGGAGACCGAATCTCGACGACTCTCCGGCAGTACAAACCAGCCCCAAAATCACACTCTCTCAAACCCGAACTTGCTTTTCATGCATCCCGAAACATAGCCTTCCCCCACGGGACAATCACACACAATGACATTCACGTGAATGCACAAACACATATTCAATCGCCCAGTCTACATCTTTCCCTCTTTTTTTCGATGCACAGGTTACTCATATGGTTGGAGCTTTCTTCTTACACGGGTTGATCGCCTCAGTGCTTTGGGTAGATCCTCGCGGTAGCGTCATTTGTTTGGCAATGGTGTAATATCGAATGCTAATACTGAATCAATTTTAACCATTTTCTTCGGAGTCATTGATCTTAGTTCAGAATGCTCCCATTCATTTACTTTATTACTCATAACTTTTTCTTTTCTTGGCAAGTTGTTGCTGTTCTTCCGGATCTTCTTGTACAAAATAGTGTACTCATGCTCTCTTAAATTTCCTGCGCGGCCCGAAGGGCTGAAAAAACTTCCTCCAAGGCAAAATTTTGAAAAATCTCCTCTAAAGCTTTTTGATAAGAGTTTTAAAGATAAACACAAGAAGCCTTATTCTTATTTATTTWTCTCCAGTCCAAAATTTGTGACCCTCCCCTAAAGCTCATTTGAAAAAATTCAACCCTCCCCAAACACGCATCCGAAAAAATGTGGACCTCCCCACAAATTTAGTGGCCCTCCCCCCAATAAATAATGATAACTTCCTTAGACAAGTATACCGTGGACATAAATCTATATGAAGCCTCAGTCTTTGTTCAGCCATGGTCTAGTTAATTTCGACAAAAAAAATCTATAAAATGAAAATAATTTATATGCATCCGTAACACCTTAACATATCGACAATGAATTATCAACACCATCATAATTTCTTAGTTTGAAGTGATGATACCTTAACTTTGAATGCGGACCGTTAAAATTTATAAATTAAACAAAAAATGAAAAATAAAAAAAAGTATTTATTTTTTTAAATATTTTGAGTTCTTACTTGTTGTAGTGTCCTCTGTGCATTGATGTTTTACGAAGGGTCAAGTTTATATAAATCGATGAGCATTAAATACTAATCGACGTGGATCGTGAATCCTTGAATCTCTTATCTTCGTAATAGAATGTTGTATCTATGAGCCATATTGACACGATATTTCCTAAAACGACTTCTGAAATCAACAGATTCTTATACAAGAACTTCGAGACAGACACTTTGACAGACACTACAAAGAGGAACAAAATATATGAGAGCACTCCAATGATGTGCAAGCTTTTCCTTATGTCTCCAGTCTCGCAGTACCGTATTTACTCGAATATAAAGACGCCGCGGCGTTTATTTCATTTTTCACGATACAGCTGCGGCGTTTATTCGAGGACGGTGTTTATTCGGGGACGGCGTTTAGTAAAAAGGCACTTTATTCAGTACTACATACCGTACTTTATATTGTATATTTTTACTAAAACAAACAGTAACGAATCTCTATATATAAATGTCCTGTTCATTTTGTCTATTCAATTTATGATTTTAACCAGATTTTTAAAAACCTCTCAGTTTCAACATCAATGTCCTCCGATCCTCGTGGTCGGCATCTAAAAGCTGCTGAGATCAAACAAGTACAGTCACTTCAAAATTAAAAATTGTTCTTAAAGAAAATAAATTCTCATTGCTGGTATCATTATTTCCTTAAATTGACGCCGCACTGAGATGCGGCGTGTCTATTCGGGGGAGCCCGCCACTAAGAACGGCTGGGAGGAGACTATTCGGGCACGGCGTCTATTAATATTTTGAGCTTAAGTGTGGCGTGTATTTGAGGGCGGCGTCTATTCGGGGACGGTGTTTATTCGAGTAAATACGGTACATGGATTTGACCATCGTAACGACATCAATATCTACGATATGTCGCTGTGCACTGGTCCACGTGACTTCTTGGGTGCGCATGGTTCTCCTTTGTTCCCAGTCTCTCACTGTTACAGACAATGATATGACTATTGTCACGATATGCATTTCTCAACGGACATAGCGTGAAGTCCCTCCCTTAAGGGTCAGCCCACCCACCTCGGAAATGTGGTTTCAACTCACTTTCAAATCATCTCTGAAGAAGAAACTTGTCGGAAGATCTGCATCGTCATCTGAGGAACTAACTGACTAGACATGAGACGGAATTCACGCATCAGTACGAAACGATGTGTGATGTGTACTATTTTAATCGTTTCGGGATTGGGTATTTTTGATTTTAATTTTAAAGCTGTGAAGTAGCATGTCAATATAGTCAGCATGTATTGTATACATTTCGCGTTATTCTATGCACCCATTCCAAAAACGAGGCCAACTAGAGGAAAAAAATTGGCAAACATCTCYATGAAAAAGACTCATGTCTCGCCAAAATTAAGTTCCATTGTTTCGATTTTATGATCCGACCAGATGTACGCGTCCGATCCATGAACATCTATATTATATGCAGAAAAACTTGAACGCTGACCACATCAGGATACAACCGTTTGCCGAGGCTTAAACTAAGGTAATTAGCTGGGAATAGTGTCTCATGTATGACGTCATCTGGTTAACCATACACTGTTGCAGGCAACGAGACGAATTAAAACCTGTTCGTATGTACTTACTAGCTTATTTTATACACAGGAAGATTTATATTCTAACTATTCTAGACGATACTAAGCTTATCTGATGCCGATATGTCTAGTTATGGATTATAGAGTCATGACGATAAATGGACATTTAATATCATTTCTTATGGTGTCTGATGTTTAAAGCCTTCTCTCAATTTGACCAATCCCACTGTGGCATTCCACTAATCCTACTCAAATATCTATCTCAATCCTACTTCTTTTCTGTTTACAAACTTGAATTCTATCTCGTCATCAGTCCTACGTCACTACGGAGTAACATGAGAAGCACGCGCGCTTGCTTCGAGCCATTGTACGTTCGCTTTCGTAGCCTACACAAGTACGTCCACTCGTCAGTGAAAATCTACGCTCTTTACTACTTAAATCTCTTGGTTTCGTGAGTATAATACATACAAAACCACTTGTTATTGTTGCTACTATCTTTGCTTAATTCATTTTTAGCGTTATTAGCATCAACTTTATCATGACCGACCAGAACATACATGTACCCACCGTCGAAGAGGGCACAAATGTTTCACAGCCGTTAGTAAGCCACCCTGGCCCTTCTGGTGTTCAACATGAACAATTAAGGCAACCTGCCGACATACTTAGCCAACCTGGCTCACAACTGAGTGCCACACTCAATAACATGAATCAATCCATGAGCGGTATGGCGGATTTACTTCGACAACTGATCGAAGAAAATCGCGCTCACCGCCAACAACGGCCTCGCAGAGCTTCACTGGGTCTCTCCGACTCGGAGGACGACTCTGATCATCCTCCCTCAAAGAGAAGGAGAGCGGATGATGAAATAAGTTTGGCCCCCTCGGATGAGGATATACATGCACTAGTGCATCCCGATGACGATGAACCCAACGTTGGGAAGAACACGGCCGACACCGACAAAGACCAGCAAGAGTCAGATTTTCTAAAGAGCCTCGAGGCTGAATATGCTGACTCAGAGCCGCTGGGCCCTAAGATTAACGAGAGCCTGGCAAACATTGCTAGGAAACGGTGGGGAGTTTCGCTTACAGCGGAAAAACTAAAAACTAAAAAAAACTAAAAACTTACAGGTAAGTCTCGTTTAATTGGATAATTAAACGGCAACATAATAAGTCAAAATCTACTAGAAT